CATCCCCATGGCTGAGCACGGAGGACTGTGCATGGAACCTAGGGAAAGGTAAGAGCTATGGGCTTTCCCAGGGGCCACCAAGCAAATGATAGAGTACTCCCCATTCTTTGGGCTGCCATGTGAGGTTAAAGAGAGATGGTCTTGGTCTTCAGTGACCAAGGGGTGGAGATGAAACTTAACACTATCCAGGGAAAGATGATAAACCTGTAAGCTGAGTCAACCACATCAGTCTAGGTCACCATATTAGAGCAAACCAAATGCAAGCCAGAGAGCTACCGTTCTGAGTGTTACAAAACAACGTGTCAAATCCATCTGTCATCTTGCACTGAGATAAAGATCCAGCTCTGCAGAGAGTTACTGGAAGGCATTCCAACATCAGTTCCTGAAAAATATTTCTTTATCGCAACAACTGCTATTTACCAACTGCTGTGAGCTTAGTGTGTTAGGAGTGGCATTTCTTTATCCCTTCTCTACCTCCTCACTGGAGAACATCCTCCCCACCAGCCAACCAAACCCAACATGCTAGGGTGGGAGAAAGAATGAAAAGCAATCCAGACCCCTTACAGCACTCCAAGCCCTTGTCTCCACGGTCTAGTCTGTATCAAAGAAGAGCTTTGAATTTAGCAGACTAAAGAGCTTTTTGTTTTGTTTTGAGACAGGGTCTCACTCTGTTGCCCAGGCTGAAGTGCCATGATGCAATCATAGCTGACTGCAGCCTCCAATTCCTGGGCTCAAGTGATCCTCCTGCCTCAGCCTCCTGAGTAACTGGGACTACAGGTGCATACCACCACACCTGGCGGATTTATTTATTGTTATTTTTTATTTATTTTTAGCAACAGGGGTCTTGCTGTGTTGCCAGGGCTGGTCTCAAACTTCTGGCCTCCCGTCCTTGGCCTCCCAAAGTGCTGGGATCATAGCAGTGAACTACACAGCACATGGCCAGACTGTGTTTTAGTAACTGAGAGTAACTGATGTTGGCCTATTATTTACAAGTCTGAGTCTCTGTTTTGATGTTATGGAATCTAAGATGTCATTAGTGGCGGGGAGAAATTCATTTGACATAGAAAGCTGTGGTTAAGGCAAGAATATCATTATACTTTCAAATCATTTAAATTCCTTAGTAAATCGGTTATATAGATAATTTCATTTTAAAAAGATTGCCATTTAAAGTGGCTGCTTTTGGCTGGGTGCAATGGCTCATGCCTATAATCCTAGCACTTTGGGAGGCCGAAGTGGGTAGATCACCTGAGGTCAGGAGTTCGAGACTAGCCTGGCCAACATGGCGAAGCCACGTCTCTACTAAAAATACAAAAATTAGCCGGGCGTGGTGGCAGTTGCCTATACCAGCTACTCGGGAGGCTGAAGCAGGAGGATTGCTTGTATCTGGGAGGTGGAGGTTGCAGTGAGCCAAGATCATGCCATTTCGCTCCAGGCTGGGTGACACTGAGGCTCCGTTTCAAAACAGAAACAAAGTGGCTGTTCTTTTCCTAAGTTTGGGACTTTAAAGAAGCAATTCTTCCATCTACAAAATTAATTTATGAGCTACCGTCATTTTTCAGCTATTTAAGGTATTGGCATACTTTGTGTCTCTTCCCTTGTCTTTCAAAAAAAGATAAAGGAAAATTCTTGGAACCTGGGAGAAAAATGGTTATAAACAGAAGAAGTTCTTTAAGTAGGAGGTATCTTATCTCTTTAAGAAGAAAGTTCCACTCTCATTCATCTGTGGTTAGTGTCCACGACAGCAATTTTCCAAATGGTAACCTCATGCACAAAGTGCACTCATATTTCTTAAAACGTGAGCCATTGAGCTCCTCTCACCTGAAGGGTCCATCCCCATGTGACACAAGAAGAGGAAGCAGAACTATGAAAAATTACAGGACAAGAAATAGAAAACACATTCTTCTTTTGCCTTGTGTGAGTTCTTCTGTTTTAGTAAAGAGGTTTTATCATCTTAAGTATTCCAGTCACTGGCACCAAGACCAAAGTAAAAACAGCCTAATTCCAATGATGTTGGTATATTTTTTACAAGTCTCAGTCTCTGTTTTTGATGTCCATTTAAGATTTTTGTATAAATTTTGTAACACTTTTTCCCTAATGTGTATTCTATCGTTAGTATTTGGGGATTTGGGATCAAAACAATCTGACATTATATTGAAACTTTTAAAATAAGCAATTTAAACCAGGCATGGTGGCCCATGCCTGTAATCTTAGCATTTTGGGAGGCCAAGGCAGGAGGATCACTTGAGGCCAGGAGTTCAAGACCTGCCTGGGCAACACAGCAAGACCCCATCTCTCAAAAAAAAAAAATACAAAAATTATCCAGGTGTGGTGGGTATGTGCCTGTAGTCCCAGCCATTTGGGAAACTGAGGCAGGAGGATCACTTGAGCCCAGGAGTTCAAGACTGCAATGAGCTATGATGGCAGCACTGCATTCCAGCCCGGGTGACAGAGCAAGACCACTTCTCAAAAATAAAATAAGCAATGGCCAGGTGCAGTGGCTCACCCTTGTGATCCCAGCACTTTGGGAGACCGAGGTGAATGGATCACCTGAGGTCAGGAGTTCCAGACTAGCCTTGACCAACATGGTGAAACCCTGTCTCTACTAAAAATACAAAAAATTAGCTTGGCATGGTGAGGGGTGCCTGTAATCCCAGCTACTTGAGAGGTTGAGGCACAAGAATCGCTTGAACCTGGGAGGCGGAGGTTGGAGCTGAGATCACACTATTGCACTCCAGCCTGAGCAACAAGAGTGAAACTCCATCTCAAAATATGCATATATATATATATATATATATATATATATATATATATATATGCAATCAACATCATCTCTATGTGCCTTGAGGAAAAAAAGTAATGACTTTTGAAAAACTGAATATACAAAATAAAATCTTGCATGATCCTTCATTACCAATATTCTGCCTTCAATCTTGCTGCACCTGCAGAGCCTTCATGGAACATTGTGTTAGGCTGTTATGAAGAAAGGATGGTGGAAAAGGATTGGGTAGAGCAAGGTAGGCAAAAAGTAGAAATTGTGACAAATGAGCAAATGAATGAGTTTCTCGGATTAATCTCTGAACTTGCTGATCAAGAGATGGAACTTGAGAAGGGAAGTAATAAATCAGAGACTGTGGACAGTTACTGATTACTGAGAGCAAGGCTCTCAAATCAGCTCTCCTGGAGGTAGGCTGACTTTGGGTGCATATAGTTAGAGCACCCCTGTGGACCACTGAGACCCAGGAGGATGTATGGGAGGGAATGATATTTACGGCAAGAAAAGCAAAAACAATAATAAAGGAAGCTTTTTAAAAAGAAAAGCCTTACCTTTGAACAGCACATTGCGATCTTTGTTTATTTCATCTTAATTCTGATGCCAGCTATGGAGTATGTTTTGCTAGTTTATAGTAAGTGAGTGACTGCTCCAGGAGTCCCTAACTAGAGCCAACACTCAACCCAGGTCTTCTGATGCCAACTCCAGTGTTCTGTCCCTGATGGGCTCAGGCAGAAGGATGAAGATACCCAGCATGCCCAGAGCATCTTCCCTGGGACTGTATGTGCTTGAAAGTTGCTTCAACCCAAAAATTGGGAACAGGCTTTCTTCTGATGCAATGGAATGTTTTCTTTTTCTTTCTTTCTTTCTTTTTTTTTTGAGACAAAGTCTCACTCTGTTGCTCAGGCTGGAGTGCAGTGGTGCAATCTCAGCTCACTGCAAACTCTGCCTCCTAGGTTCAAGTGATTCTCCTGCCTCAGCCTTCTGAGTAGCTGGGACTACAGGCGAGTGCCTCCACACCTGGCTAATTTTTTGTATTTTTAGTAGAGACGGGGTTTCACCTGTTTCATCCTGTTAGCCAGGATGGTCTCAATCTCCTGACCTTGTGATCCATCTGCCTCAGCCTCCCAAAGTGCTGGGATTACAGGCATGAGCCACTGCACCCAGCCTGTGTTTACTTTTTATAGAAAAGATGAATTTTATGAACTTTACATTTCTCCTTTTTTTTTTCTTTTGGTTTCCGAAAAGCCCAGGGCCCAATTTCTGGCCTGGTCTCTAATTTAGAAAATTGCGCATAACCTTCTGGTCATATTTTCCCATTCTATCCTTACTATCTGTCACCTTGACTTTTTATTCACATTTTCTTATTTTCAAGTGGCATGCATATCATCAGCCTCTTTCAATTACTTGTGGAACAAGGTGGGCTATAAATATATAAACAACCAAGGTCAATATTTAACATTTGATAGCTCTAGTTTCTGGAGGTAGAGCTATCATTCTGAGTGCTATAAGACAACTTCTAAACAGCCATCTTTTTACCTGCGCCTGGATGAATAAACAGCTATATATAGTGATGTTGCAAACCATTCAAGCATCAGTGCCTGTCAAAGATTTTATCATCATAACAGCTGTGTTTTATCGAGAGCTTTGAGCACTACACTGCTGTGTGCACCAGGAGAGGGGTGCGTGTTCTCTGGATTTAGACAGGAAGCATAGTCTACTTTCATCACTGAGGAAAATCCCACTGGGAAGAGGCGTTAAGTCTGGACTTTCCAAATAATCACACTAGAGGGGGAAGAAGCCCCTTGGTTGTACAGAGCTATTCCTTCTGTAGATTTTCACGCCCTTCTACTTCCTGCCCCGTCTGTGCCAGGAGAGAATGCCAGCTCAGAGCTCCATCGCTCCCTTCCTGGAATCCTGATATTTCTTCGTTCCCCTCCCTCTTCTCAGTTCTGAAGAGCCAGGTTTTCATACCTCATAATCTCACTAGCCTATGACACCAACGGTCTTTTTCTTTCTTATTTCTTTCTCTCTCTCTCTCTTTTTTTTTTTAGTCAGGGTCTCCCTCTGTCACCCAGGCTGGAGTGCAGTGGCATGATCTCAGCTCACAGCAATCTCTGCCACCTGGGTTTAAGCAATTCACCCACCTCAGTCTCCCGAGTACCTGGGATTGCAGATGTGTGCCACCACGCCTGGCTAATTTGTTGTTGTTGTTGTTGTTGTTTTGTAGACACAAGGTTTCACCATGTTGCCTAGGCTGGTCTCAAACTCCTGGGCTCACATGATCCACCTGCCTTGGCCTCCCAACGTGCTGGATTTACAGGGGACACCTGCAGTCTTGAAAGGCAAGGAGAATGGACATTACTCTCTAAAACCCCAGTCTCACCATGATGTATACATACATGATGTAAGTTAAGCACTTTTAACAGCATAAAGTTTACCTATGAAATAGTGTCATAAAATTTTTAACAGGCACAGAAGTTATGGATACAAGTTGCTGGGCACCATGGCTGACACCTGTAATCCCACCACTTTAAGAGGCTGAGGCGGGCAGATCACCTGAGGTCAGGGGTTTGAGACCACCCTGGCCAACATGGCGAAACCCCATCTCTACTAAAAATACAAAAAATAGCTGGGTGTGGTTGTGGGCACCTGTAATCCCAGCTACTTGGGAGGCTGAGGCAGGAGAATAGCTTGAACCCAGGAGGTGGAGGTTGCAGTGAGCTGAGATCACACCGTTGCCCTCTAGCCTGGGTGAGAATGAGACTCTGTCTCAAAAATAAATAAATGTTTTTTTTTAATGTTATGAATATAAGTGAATTTGGATGCATACAGTCTTTTTATTTTTATTTTTTCAAACAATCACTAAGTGTCACACCTCGGCTGTTATAAAGATGGCCCTTGGTATATCATGGCCATCATTAACCATGACAATAGAAAGTAATCATTGAATAAACATGGACTGTGGCTAAGCATTTTGCTGAGAGGGCCACATCTACAAGACCCCGGCTGCAGAGCTCCTAGCAGAGGGCTTCCTGAAACCAAAGGCACAGCTAAGGCTACACGCTGCACACACACATGTAGTTACAGGCTCACCCATTTGTATCATCAGCTTACAATGCTCAGGGCTGGAGGACGGTGAGTGGGTGAGAGCCATTTTGATACAGATGTAAGTAAACTTTATGATCTCTTTTCTAATTTAAAAATCCTGTGCTAAAATGGGCAATTTAAAACCATAAAGCTATCACTCACTTCTAAATCTCTGTCCTCTTTTTTTTTTTTTTTTTTTTTTTGAGACAGAGACAGAGTTTCGCTCTGTCACCCAGGCCGGAGTGCAGTGGCACTATCTCGGCTCATTGCAACCTCCGCCTCCCAGGTTCAAGTGATTCTTGTGCCTCAGCCCCCTGAGTAGCTGGGATTACAGATGCCCACCACTGCACCCAGCTAATTTTTGTACTTTTAGCAGAGATGGGCTTTCGCCATGTTTGCCAGTCTGGTCTTGAACTCCTGGCCTCAAGTTAGCCCCTCACTTCAGCCTCCCAAAGTGCTGGGATTACCGGTCTGAGCCCCTGTGCCCTGCCTTCTTTTCTCACTTTTGAATCGTTGCATGGAGATCTTAACTCCTTACTTTTCATTCCTTGCCTCAGGCATCTCAGAGTTTTGGCTGACTGAATATATTCAGAGTACAGAATGAGACAAACAGTTGAGTATACTTTTATTCGGCTCCAGTGTCCTCAGTGTGGTTGCAGCCGTCACTGGAAGGTAATTCATTGTGCAATTTTGTGTTCTTGTTTCTAGTGCTAATCTCTCCAGGGCATTAAGAAGGCTAAAATGGAAATTGTGTGGGTTATTAATAAAGAGACTAATTCAGAAATTCTCAAAACCGCACGTCTCTTTCAGTTGTAAGCCAAGGTGATAGTTTGCTTTTCAGGACTGAGTAGCTGTATTTCTTGCTACACAAATATTGGGAAAGAAAGAGTGAGGCTAGCCAGGTGCGGTGACTCACACCTGTGATCCCAGCACTTTGGGAGGCTGAGACAGGAGGATCACTTGAGCTCACGAGTTCGAGACCAGCCTGGGCAACATGGCAAAACCCCATTTCTACAAAAAAATACAAAAATTAGCCAGATGTGATGGTGCACACCTGTAGGCCCAGCTGCTTTGGAGGCTGAGGCGGGGGGAACTGCTTGAGCTCAGGAGATTGAGGCTGCAGTGAGCTGTGATTACACCATTGCACTCCAGCCTAGGCAACAGAACGAGACCCTGTCTCTACCAAAAAAAAAAAAGACTCAGGCTAGCCTAAATTGGAGATTTTTTTCAGATTCTAAGCAAGTGGTTCTCAAAGTGTGGCCCCAGGCCAGAGAGGTAGGCTCACCTGGGAGGTTGTTACCAGTGCAAATTCTGGGGCCTCATCCCAGGCCTAATAGAGTGGTTATTTCTGAACCTGGGACCCAGGAATCGCCAGCGCCCCCTGATTCAGATGCCCGCTGAAGTTTGAGAACTGCTGCTCCATCGGTCTAGTGTGAGAACAGGTGCCTTGAATCGAATCATGCTATGAGTGCAGAGAGCACATTTTGGCTTCCTGTACTGCAGTCTAGCCCGATATAGCAATGCAAGATCATAGTTAATGGGACTTCTCTTTTAAAGTGGCTTGCGCTTTGGGGACACCACTCCTTGGCCTTAGTTAATGGCCGCAGTAATTACTCGACTGCTTACAATTCAATAATGTTGTCAACAAATTGGGTAGTTAGTAGCCAGTCTTCTGGGGAGCCTCGTGAACATGGGCACAGCCCACGGCTGAGTACCCAACCGTGACAAGGGGCACACTGGAGACAGATAACCAGATACTATAGGCCACATTATTTCCTGAATTGCGACAACCTTGATACTCCAGACAGAAGTATATCAGCACTTGAGTCACCCCATCTCGGTCTCCCCTCTGTTTTTCTGTGTCCTTTAATCTAACAGCATCCGTGACTGTCGTTTTAAGTGCAGGTCTGCATCTGCATTTTACAGGAGTTCCTATGAAACTGTGACAAGAATGTCCCATCGGAATGTGCGATGAAAAGGGAAGCGCTGCCGTTAGCACTTTTTTTTTTTTTTTTTTTTTGAGACAGAGTCTGGCTCTGCTGCCCAGGTTGGAGTGCAATAGTGTGATCTCGGCTCATTGCAACCTCTGCCTCCCAGGTTCAAGCCATTCTCCTGCCTCAGCTTCCCCAGTAGCTGAGATTGCAGGCATGTGCCACCTTGCCTGGCTTTTTATTTTTTGTATTTTTAGTAGAAACGGGTTTCACCATGTAGGCCAGGCTGGTTTCGAATTCCCGACCTCAGGTGATCGGCTCGCCTTGGCCTCCCAAAGTGCTGGGATTACAGGTGTGAGCCAACTGCGCCTGGCCTGTCCACATTCTTAATAGCTCTTTCTGGGCCTTAAATTCCAGGAATAGCCAGAAGAGTGTGTGTGCAGCCAGCCTGACCAAGACAGTCTTCTCCCTTTCTCATGCGGTTTTCTCTTAATGAGATGGGCAATGCTAAGGAAATATTTGGTGCCAGAACTGTAGTCAAAGCTTACCTGCCCTGGGCTTCTCCCTACACATGGAGAAGCTGCTACCAGCTACCCCACCGCTACCCTGCCCCAACCGTGGCCGGTTCTCCCTCTTCGACACATGGGAATTGTTCTTTCTTTTTGGGAAACGCCATCCTTCTTCTTAGTTTCTCTGTTGTCACTATGAAACCCAGAGACCTGAAAACAAATCAATTGGAGCAAGGTAGAATTCAGCACATATCAAGTAAGACTGGGGAGTAATTACTGCCTGGGCGAACCCGTGCAAAAACAGCCACGCTGGTTGCATATTTGTGTCTTTCCATTTGTTAGAAACTTTCAAGCCTCTACTACTATTACTTAAGAAAACGTCTGCATGGAAATTCTATCCCCAACTGAACCTGAACCGAAGCCTGCAGATGAGGGCCAGGCTCCCCAGCTTCCCGGAACAAGCAGACAGTTATTAATGGAAATGCTCTCGCTACTCAGGTATGTGCTAACATCTGTTAAAACTGCATTTGTACAGGATTGCATGAATTATTGATACATGAACACATTGCTTTAGCCAAGCACAATCTTTTACGATTTCATGACACGGCTTCCCAGAGTTCTAGGTTACGACAACCTGACTTTCAAAGTTACAAGTTAAAGCAATCTGCTTGCATCCCAGGCCGACTGTGCGGAAGAGATTTGCGATTGAGACGATCTGCCATGTACAGAGAATGAGGTCTCCAGTCAGCAAGGGAGCCGGAATCTGTGGCTGGGACTTTTCTGAGGTCTCCTGAGTAGGTAGCTGTGTAGCCTGTCACAGTGTAGCTTTTCAGAGGAAGGCATGTCATGCTCAGAATAGAGAAATTTACTCCTGAGCATTTTTATTATTATTATTTTTAGAGACAAGTTCTTGCTGTCACCCAGACAGGAACACAGGGGTGCAATCATGGCTCACTGTAGCCTCAAACTGCTGGGCTCAAGCCATCCTTCCACTTCAGCCTCCTCTGTAGCTGAGACTACAGGTATGGACCACCATACCTGGCTAATTTTCTTTATTTTAATTTTTATGTAGAAACGGGGTCTGACTATATTGTCCAGGCTGCTCTTGAACTCTTGGGCTCAAGCAATCCTCCTGCCTCAGCCTCCCACAGCTTTGGGATTACAGGCACAAGACACCTGGTGTCTTAGCGTCCTTAAATAAAACCCTGCGGGTGCAAGGGCTAGAGCTTTGTCAAGCTTCCACTACTGCTGGATCGACATCTCTTCCGCCCATGGCTTTTCCTGGGAACATCTCTGCGTCGCTGTAGACTCCACCATCTGGCCCACCTGGCTTTTGAGTTGGTGAATCTCACTGGGGGCTCTAGACAAACTAAGCATTGTGAAGTGCACTGGCTCCGTGCTTAACTTCATTTTTATCCCACCTACCTTCTAATAAAGAATGTTTTGGAAAGTAAGGGATCAGAGAAGGTTTCTACAGTTAGGGTGCATTATTAGGCCCGGTCCTTGTTTCAGCCTCCACTTAGCCTAACTAGAGGTACTTTTTCCTCTGGATGAGGAGGTTATCGTTATCCATCCCGTGGGATTGGCGCCATGAAGGGGCCACTAGGGGGCGCCCGGCGCCTCAGAATAGTCCACCTTTAGGCAACGAAGCTGGCAGGTCGCCAGGCCTGGTGCTGGAGACTCCGCTAAGGTTCCTGGAAGGCCTTCATCTGTCATTAATGGTTGGACAGAGAAGAGCACTGCCGGCCCCAGATGAGAGTGAGGAGGCCAGTCTGGGAGAAGGCAAGCAATTGAGAAGGCGGAAGGGGCAAGAAAAAACTGGAAAGGGTGGCAGAGCGAAAAGGAAGAGAGCAGAGGCCCAGAGGAGAGAAAAGAGCAGGGTGGGGGAAACGGGAGGTGCGTTTTGCAGGGCTGGGCAACTCCAGAGACAGCGGAATGCCACGTTTTTAAGGACCCTATGGTGCGTCCGGGGACAGGGAAGGAGCCGGTTTTAGGCATCTGTGTGCCTGAGGCTGGGTCTCCCCAGGGTCTCCCCAGACGCCTGTGCCAACCTGCTCGCTTCATACTTTTCCTGTTGCCTTAGACTCACAACTCACCGTGCTCACGTCCTTCTAGAAAACGAGGACCCGTGTTGGTGTCAATACCTCCCAGTGGAGGCAGGAGCGGAGGATGGAGAAAGTGGATTTGGGTCATCACTTCAGCCTTTTAGAATCACGCTACAGGCTGGGGGTAGTGGCTCACGCCTGGAATCCCAGCGCATTGGGAGGCTGAGGTGGGAGGATTGCTTGAGCCCAGGAGTTTGAGACCAGCCTGGACAATATAGTGAGAACCGCATCTCTACAAAAAGAATTTTCAAAAAATTGGCCAGGCGAGGTGGTACACACCTGTAGTCCCAGCTACTAGGGAAGCTGAGGAGCCTGGGAGGTCGAGGCTGCAGCGAGCCGTGATTATGTAACTGCACTCAAGCCCGGGCAACAGAGTGAGACCCCAGCTCTAAAGAAAAGCAAAAAGAATCACACTTTATTATTGATGATTTTGAATCATGAGATAATAAAAAAGGAAGGACCTTTTTTCCCACTTAAAGATATTAGCAATTATTATGGGCCCTTACTGTGTTCTAGTAATAGGTGTCAGCATTTAGAAATCTAATGCCGGCCAGGCACGGTGTAATCTCAGCACTTTGGGAGATTGAGGCAGGCAGATCACCTGAGATTAGGAATTCGAGACCAGCCTGACCAATATGATGAAACCCCATCTCTGCTAAAAAGACAAAAATTAGCCAAGCATGGCCTGTAATCCCAGCTACCCGGGAGGCTGAGGCAGGAGAAGCGCTTGAACCTGGGAGGTGCAGGTTGCAGTGAGCCAAGGTTGTGCCACTGCACTCCAGCCCAGGGAACAGAGTGAGATGGAGGAAAGGAAAGAAGGAAGGCAGGAAGGGAGGGAGGGAGGGAGAAAGGAGGGGGAGAGAGAAAAGAGGGGGAGGCAGAAGGGAGGAGGAGGGAGGGGAAGGAAGTCTAAAGCCATTTAAGACACTCAGCAACCTGATGAAGTAAGTGCTGTCGTTATCCCTATTGACAGAAGAAAATGACTCACCCAAAGCAACAATGCCAGCAAATAGTGAGGCTAAAATTAGGGACCCAGACAGTCTGACTTTAGAGCCTGCACTTAAGTAACTCAACTGAAATTAATGTCAGTTAAGTGACAGAACTGGAACTTGAATTTAGATCCCCTGTCTTCAAATTCTGTTGAATCCTCTGTACCACTGTTCTTAAGTTTTTTGGTCTCAGACCCCTTTATTCTCTAATTATTGAAAACTCTAAAGCATATTTCTGCAGGTTTTATGTGTCACTATTTACGGCGCTATAAACTAAAATAAAGTAAATATCTACTAATTCATTTGAAACACTAATAATAAACCCACTCCATGTAAACATAAACAACATCTTCATTAAAACATTATCGAAGCGGGGTGCAGTGGCTCACGCCTGTGATCGCAGCACTTTGGGAAGCCTGGGCAGGTGGATCACAAGGTCAGGAGTTCGAAACCACCTTGGCCAAGATGGTGAAACCCTGTCTCTACTAAAAATACAAAAATTAGCTGGACGCGGTAGTGAGCCCCTGTAATCCCGTCTACTAGGGAGGCTGAGGCAGGAGAATTGTTTGAACCCAGGAGGCAGAGGTTGCAGTGAGCTCAGATCGTGCCACTGCACTCCAGCCTGGGCAACAGAACAAGACTCCATCACAAAAAAAAAACGAAAAAAGAAAAGAAAACATTATTGAGAGAAAAAATGTTTCCATTTTCTGCTATATGTCAGTGTCATATTTGATATGGAAAACTTAATACAGAAAGGCCCAAAGTAAAGACAAAAACAAAATCACTTGAAATGCCATCGCTGAAGAGGGAATGACTGTGACTTTTGTTTTATATATTGTCCCAGCTTCCTGGGAAGATTCTGAATTCCAGACATCGTGCCTTCCAGACACTGAAGCAGTAACTTTAAACTGTGGCAATTTAAAAGTGCCTGTAAATATCATCGTAGGAAATCTTAAGGCTGTACCAGGACCTGGAGAGGGTGTCGGTGACCTTGATCACCTATTTCTAGACTTCACTGGAGATCACAGAGCTCAGAGCACATTCTGGTTTAGTGATAGTATAAGGCGCACGCCAAAGCCAAACTATCTAGCTACAGAAATTCTGTCTCCTGCCCCGGGAGCCAAGGCTAAGCCCTTCACTGCCTTATGCTAAATGTGCATTAAATTGCGGAGAGCAATTGGTGTTTCTCAGTGCCTCAAATTTGCACCTGCCTGTTTGATACCAGGAAAGGGTGTGGCCATTTCCTCTTGAACTTTGGGTTAGAGATAGCTGGGTATAAGGGGGTAGGGCTTGGGGAAGGTAAGCAAAAGCCCACCCAGGGTCATCAGCTGCCTGGTGGTATCTCCTGGCCAATCATTTCTCGTTCTGTGTCTCCCTGCCGCAGACCAGCTCTGAGCCTCCCAGGACACCACGTGATGCCTGCATTTCACTCCATGCCAAGTTCCACATGCCAGAGAGCTGTCGTGGAGCTTTGGCAGGGAGAAGTGTCTGGGCCAGTGGCCTGTGGCAGTTACTGCTCCTGGCTCTCACAGACTTGGTAGAGTTTGTAGGGGATCTAGAATTTACTGTGTCCCTAGAGAGGGGGTCAACAAATTGACAGAAGCCTGGGGTTAGAACAGAGAAGCCAGAGAGCACACAGTATTTATGGACAAAGGCAAATGGCTTGGACTATGATACCAACATCATATTCCCTTCCTCCTTGAAGAAAGGCCAGATGCCAGCAGTCTCTCACTGGTTTCTTCATGGGGCCTGGTAGTCTGCAGACCCCTCGTCATCAGATGCCACCTTGGGAAGAAATTGGATGGGAGGCCATGCAGGGAAGAAAGATGTCTGCCACATCAGTTATTTATCTGAAAGATACTGGGTTATCCAGAAAGAAAAAGCAACTGACAAGCCGCAAGCCTAAAAATTTTCTTTGTTATGCTGGGTCTGGTGGTGAGTACTCTTAAGAAATTTCAACCATGCGGGGCACAGTGGCTCACACCTGTAATCCCAGCACTTTTTGAGGCTGAGGCAGGCAGATCACCTGAGGTCAGGAGTTCAAGACCTGGGCAACATGGTGAAACCCCATGTCTACTAAAAAAAAAAAAAAAAAAAAAAATTAGCTGGACATGGTGGTGCACACCTGTAATCCCAGCTACTTAGGAGGCTGAAGTAGGAGAATCACTTGAACCCAGGAGGCAGAGGTTACAGTGGGTCAAGATTGTGCCACTGCACTCCAGCCTGGGTAACAGAGCGAGATTCCATCTCAAAAAAAAAAGTTACAACCAATTCCAGAGAATGGTTTGTTCTTTCTTAGAAACTTACTTCTTTTCATGTTGTTTTCTCTACGTGGTGACAAATGTAAGGTTTTAGTTTACAGAGAGCATAATGTGTCCCACCCCAAGACCTCACCATACAAACACCTGCTCTCTGCATTGGGTGGAAAGATCTTCCTTCAGCTGTTGGCTGTCAGCAACTTTTTTGCAGACTGGTTGAAGCTGGACAGGAATGGTAATCAGGGGCCGTGTGGTATTATCCATATGGCATATAATCAAAATTATGTTTTCACACAGGCAGAACAGATTCCAAGCAAGAACAGAAGCAGGATTCCAAGCAGGTCTCAGATCAGTTCCGGATCCTCATGCCAATGCCTTATATCCAGTTCCCCTGGCCGCGTTTTACATTTCAGCAAAAGGCGTGTCTTGCAAACCCAGCAGCGCTTATATGGCCAGTGTCATCTGAGAATGCAACGGGGTGATTTGTGGTGGGAGAGCTGTGTTAACCGGGCTCAAACTGCTATCCAATATCCCAAACGTAAACCTCTTCCTGCGGGCTTGAAAAAGAAGCCAGGGCTCTTAGAAGGTTCACTTTTCATGTGCTGAAGCCTTCCAATTTCTTGGTTGCAGCTGGGCATGCTCTAAAGCAGATGAGATACTCTGGGAAAGAAACAGGGTCCCCATCATCCATCCCGGATCGGGGTAGGGACAGCAGAGCCTTCCAGGGACAGCTCACCTGTCTCACCACCCCCCAGGGCTCGGCTGGGGATGGCAGGACCCCTGGACTGATTAGATTCTCCAGAAAGAGCTTCATCCAAAAAAACGACCTTTAGACTTCTATGTGTTTTATCCTCCCAGCCAAGCATCTTCTCACGAGTATTTATTAAACACCTACCATGCGCAGACACCGTGCTTGGACACACTTGCCAATTATTTCCTCGGAGTTTGTTTTCCAGGCAAAAGGAGGTGTTGATGGATTAGCCACAAGCCTTAGTGCTCTCCAAAGTGCTTCTTATGATTGGGTCTTGTAGGAAAATGCTTCATGTTGGTGACTCTTAAACCAATGCCCAGTGTTTATTTCTGATGGACAGAGATCGTGTGATTCGTGCCAAATAAAGACAGGAGCTGATGGGATTTTCGAGAATTGCAGGTTCTACTTTTGATATTTTCCCACAGTAGTTGGGAAGGAAGAGTCTCCCCAAATGAGAAAGAAGTTGGGTGGGAGGGGGTCCTGCAGCCTTGGCTTCCTGGGAGGCTCTTGGATGACTCACAGTGGGGGTAGGGAGCAGCCGCAGGCCGCTGCAGCCCTGGTTACTGCTACAAATTTATCTCCCCAACTACGGCCTCTCCATCTGTTCTACCCTCTAATTACAAATGCAAAAAATAGCTAATTTGCAATGGCATCATAAAGAGGAAAATCTAAGTGATTTAAGAGCCGCTCCGTGTTACGTGGAGCGTGTCTTACACACTCCAGCAGAGAGAAACTGCTTGTTCCCTGTGTTGGGAGAGTCCCCTCATCTCGGCCAGTTTCTGATTTGCCCTGACTAGGAGAATTATTATTAAAAGTTGCAAAGGGCAAGGAGCGGGTCCTGAGAATGTTCCACCCCCACCACAATCGCTTCTGTCAGAAAGGAGGCCAGCCACCATGGTTACAACTCAAGGCCAGTAATCTGCCTTGATCTCTAGATTATTTCAACTTCTTGGCAAAATATATGATGTGGACACAGTACTATGAGCCAAACTATAATACAATTATTTTCTTTTTAACCAGGCATGGTGACTCACACCTGTAATCCCAGTGCTTTGAGAGGTCGAGGAGTGGAGATCACTCGGGGCCAGGAGTTCAAGAACAGGCTGGGCAACACAGGAAGACACCTATCTCCACAAAAATGTTTAAAAATTAGCCAGACATTGGCTGGACAGGGTGGCTCACACCTGTAAACTCAGCACTTTGGGAGGCCGAGGCAAACAGATCACTTGAGGTCAGGAGTTCAAGACCAGCCTGCCCAACATGGTAAAACCCTATCCCTCCTAAAATTCCAAAAAAAAAAAAAAAACTAGCTTGGTGTTATGGCAGGCACCTGTAATCCCAGCCACTTGGGAGGCTGAAGCAGGGGAATTGCTTGAACCCGGCGGGTGGAGGTTGCAGTGAGCCGAGATTGTGCCGCTGTACTCCAGCAACAGAGTGAGACTCAATCTCAAAAAAAGAAAAAAAATTAGCCAGGTTTGATGGCTCGAGCCTGTAATCCCTGTTACTTGGGAGGCTGAGGTGAAAGGTGGAAGTGAGAGGATCACTTGAGCCCAGGAGTTGGAGGTTGCAGTGAGCTGTGACGGTGCCACTGCTCTCCAGCCTGAGTAATACAGTAAGACCCTGTCACTAAAAATAAAATTTTTAAAAAAATGAAATAAAAGTTATTTTCTTTTCAGTTGTGCCAGTGATGAAATGATGAGAATGATGGTGCTCAGGATATTCTACCCCAAAATACAGCACCTTGGCACACTGAATATTTTCAGCTGAAGGAACTTGAGAAACAGCAGAAGGAAGAAGCCTCCCTGGCCTTTCCCTGCCCTCTCCTGAAGACCGTCATGTGAGAGGTGCCCTTCCTATACCTGGAGGAAAGGAATATCCTTATCTGTGAAGACAGGGTCACAGGAAGGAATCTGAACAGGGTGGCTGGGTTTCCCCAGCTTATTCCTATTATTTCAGTCTCTTTTACCTGATCCATTTCTCCAGAAGTGTCCACTCTTCATCAAGTCTGCCATAAAAACAGTGTTAGCTCTTTCTGATGGGGTCTTCATTTTCTTTTGAAGGCTTTCTTGTCATGTAAAACTTACTAAATAAATTTATATGTTTATCTGTGTATTGTTAATCTGTGTTTTGTTACAGGGACCTCAGCCATGTACCTAATATGGGTAGAGGAAAAAGATGTTTCTCTCCTACAATGGTTTATCATGAATTATCTCAGTAAGGGGATGTACAAAGGTCTGTGCACATGCAAAGTCATAGATGTGAACTTTCTTTTCTTCCTCTCCTCCTCCTCCCTGTCTTCTAGCTCTCCTCCTCTACCTTCTATCTCTAACTGCCGAAGACCTTATCAATCACTGTAGCAGCAGCAGCAGCACCATGCAGAAGAAAGAGTGATTTAGAGTCAGGGCTGCCTCTAGATTTCTGTTGTGCTTTGCCACTCAGTGGTTATGTAAAAACAGAGCAGGTGACATCCTCCCTGAGCCTCAATTCCCTTAGGTGGGAGGGATCAATTAGCACCTGCCCTGCCTCTCTGACCCAATCTTTTAGTTAACAGGTGAGAAAACAAGGCCCAGAGAGGCACCTGGCTTGGTCTCATGGCTAAGATCCTGCAGGGCTAAGATGAGAGCCTGGCCCTTGTATTTAACCCCTGCAGTCACAGGGACCCAGGAGGTGTTAGATATACTTTTGGGATCCAGGACTGTGCTGGCTGCTGGAGGAGGGTGGAGGAAGGGTGTGGGGTGGGGAAGGCACAAGCTCTGGTGGAAACCACAAAACAACAAGACACTTTCTCTGCTTTTGAGGAGCACGGTGGTTCTCTTCATCCCTCCCTTAGGAGTAGAGGAACTGCTTGACAGGTTCATCTTGCCCACTGCCCAGATCGAACCAATTTGTCAAAACAGGGGAATTGCAATAGGGAAAGAATTTGATACACATGAAGCTGGCTAAACAAGCAACCAGAGTTTTATTATTACTCAAGTTAGCCTCACCTAAACTTTGGAAGCTAGGGTTTTCTGAAGATACTCTGATGGGCAGGGGGCCAGGGAATGAGGAATACTAATGGGTTGGGTCGGGGATGAAATCGTAAGGCACCGAAGCTGTCCCATTTGAATCTCATGTTGAAATGTGATTCCCGGTGGGGCGTGATTGGATTGTAAGAGTAGATCACTCATGAAGGGGATCTCTTTGGTGATAAGTGAGTTCTCACTCTGAGCCCACCCAAAATCTGGTTGTTTAAAAGTGTGTGGCCCTACCCACCCCACCCCCCATCACTCCTGCTCCTGTTCTCACCATATGATACACCTGCTGCCCTTTCATCTTCTGCCGTGATTGTAAGGTTCCCGAGGTCCTCACCAGAAGCAGATGCTAGAGCTGTGCTGCGATGGCCTGCAGAACTGTGAGTCAATTACACCTCTTTTCTTTATAAATTACCCAGCGTCAAGTATTTATTTATAGCAATGCAAGAATGGCCTAACACAGCCTGAATGACTCCTGGGCCATAACTCCTAATCTTGTGGTGAATTTGTTGGTTTTACAAAGATGGTCTGGTCCCCAAGCAAGGAGGGGGTTTGTTTGTGGCTAGGCCGTTATCATCTTTGTTGCAAAGTTAAACTAAAAACTAGCTCGGAGATGAGAAGCAAGATGGAGTTGGTTAGGTCAGATTTCTTTTACTGTCATACTTTTCCTATGTCAAATTTGTCTTACTGTCATAATTTTTGCAAATGGGGTTTCAAGTAGGAAAATAACTTCCCTGAGAGTGCTGAGCCCTGTTCTGAATCAGCATTGCCAGGAGCTTATAAGAAAGATCTGAGGCAAATCCCTTTGGTTCTCTGGACCTCAGTTTTTCCCTTGCTGTAAAATAAGGTTGAACAGAATGGGCACTAGGAATCCTTCAAGCTCTAAAACTCTATTATAACATTATTGAATCTAATGGTAGCACTGGTCTTTGTTTCATTACCAGCAGCTCTGAAACGCTCATTTGCTCTAGGAACCCTTTGCTTGCTGTAAGAATATTATGACTTGTTATTTCTATCTTTAGTGATGGTATCTATGCAATAGGGAAAATAACAAAAGTTCTTTCTGGAAAAGTTAAAAATTAAAAAAAAAAAAAGGATCATTCATATACATGAACTCTGAATAAGCCATAAGTAGATTATTTGAAGCAGAGAGAAATAATCTATTTTCTAGGACAATATAATCCCTTTTAGGTGAATTCTTAGTGTGATTATCAGATGATAAGTTCTTCAGAGTTGTTTTGCAAATAAATTATGCAAGAGGGGAGGCGGTGTAGTGAGAGGGTAGGTTCCACTGGTTGATAAGACATAGTCCTCAGATCAATAGCTTGGTGCACACCCATATTTGCAGGAGAGCTCATTCAAAAATCTTGGATTACATGATACAGGATGGAACTACATCAGAGTTAAACACCTAGACTAGGCTGAACTTTGTAAAAACAGCTGCCATCACAAATGTTTAACATGTAAAGATAAGTACTGGACTGTTTCTTCCCTTGCTCATTTTTCCATCATTTTGTGTAAGAAAAATGTCTTCATAACCTTGCATACTGTTCACTTGTGTTCAACACATGCTGGGGAAACTGAGCCATAACTTCTAATCACATTGTCTATACCGCAAGTTTCCATACCTACCCTCTTTCTGCTCCAACTGCATGCACACCTAGGAGACTGTTCCAGAAGCTCAGTGATACTGTCTAGAGCAGTTCAAACAGGAGAACAAGTTTTTTGTTTTTTTGAGATGGAGTCTCGCTCTGTCACCCAGGCTGCAGTGCAGTGGCATGATCTCAGCTCACAGCAACCTCTGCCTCTCGGGCTTAAGTGATTCTCTTCTGTTTCCTCAGCCTCCCAAGTAGCTGAGATTATAGGTGCCTGCCACTGCGTCCTGCTAATTTTTGTATTTTTAGTAGAGACAGAGTTTCGCCATCTTGGCCAGGCTGGTCTCAAACTCCTGATCTTGCGATCCACCTGCCTTCACTTCCCAAAGACCTGGGATTACAGGCGTGAGCCACCAGGCCCAGCTGCTTTCTTCTATTTTTAATTTAAAGATTAGCATAAGTTTTCTATTTTTAATTAGAGATTTGAGAGTTCAAACACCTTTAAGAAAGATTTTGAAATTAGAGGAGGGCAAATCGTGTCTGTTATTATTTGCTCTCTGCCCTTAGGCATTTTGCCCCAGAGGCTTGGGTGGGGCTGGTTTGGACTTGCCTCTGCGGACACGTTGGACCTGCTGTCCAAGAGTTCCTGGTTAATACAGAAACGCTGTCCTGAGATGCACAGAATCGCTGGGACAGGTGTTTCAGAAAACATTCAGCATAGAAGAAAGATTGGCAAACACAGACAAAGAAATCAAGAGTCTTAAACACCACCCTTCATCCAGGAAACAGGAAGGGAAATTTCTACTTTTGTTTGGAATTCTCAGGGTTTTGGAACCTTTCAGAAGCAATACAGAAAAAAATGACAAAACAAAAGAAATAGAGCATTTTCTTTAAAAGGGAAAAAAACTGTTGACCACTCATCCTCTTATCTAGAGAGTGGAGAAAATCAAAGGGCTTTTTACTTTTCATTTATATGAGTGAGGAAAGCCTTAGTTTTAACTTGTTGCTTTTAGTGGAAGAAAGAAGTTTTCAGATTGGATCCACAGACTGACTTTTTGGAATAGACGTAGCTTCCTTTAATTCTATCAGAAAATAATTCTTTTCTATTATAACTCTATTTGAAAGCAATATATTTTTAGACACTAAACAGAACGTTTGAAGCTGTGACCAACTGGTTTTTGGCGCAGTCCACGAGTTCAGGTGTTATGTGGGTGGAGTTCTGGACACGATGCTCCGAATACAATACCCTGGCATTTGAGAAAACAGCAGAAGCAAGATCTCTCTCACCTCCTTCTTGCCCTTCTCCTCTGAAGCAGGTAAAAAGGCCTTCACCTGAGAAGTTCCCACCCTATACCTGTCTTTATCTCTGAAGAACAGGCACACAGAGAAGACTCTGAACAAATAGGTCTTGCTGACTTTGTAACCACAGGACCAGCCCAAACTGGGCCTAGTCTGTTGATAACAAAATGTCAAGTTACTTTTTAGGTAAAGCAGGCCCAAAAAGTATGGGCATGCACCATAGACAAAGCTTTGACTCTAACAACACGTGGAACCAATGATTCCTCCTCTCAGAACCAAAAAGACCAGGACACGACAGAACCTGAGTGCTGGAACTCTTCCAGAAAATCTGGGGTGAAAATCTGCCTCAATATCCCTGTGATGGTTAACATAGAGTGTCAACTTGATTGGATTGAAGGATGCAAAGGATTGTTCCTGGGTCTGTCTGTGAGGGTGTTGCCAATGATTGACATTTGAGGCAGTGGACTGGGAAATGACCTACCCTCAGTTGGGTGGGCACCATCTAATCGGCTGCGATCATGGCTAGGATAAAAGCAGACAGAGGAATGTGGAAGGACTTGACTTGCTGAGTCTTCCTGGCTCCATCTTTCTCCCATGCTGGATGCTTCCTGCCCTCAAACATCAGACTCCAAGTTCTTCAGCTTTTAGACTCTTGGACTTACACCACTGGTCTGCCGGGGACTCTCTGGCCTTCAGCCACAGACTAAAGGCTGCACTGTTAGTGTCCCTACTTTTGAGGTTTTGAACTCAGACTGGCTTCCTTGCTCCTCAGCTTGCAGACAGCCTATTGTGAGACTTCACCTTGTAACCATGTGAGTCAATATGCCTTCATAAACGCCCCTTCCTATATACACCTACCTGTTAGTCCTGTCCCTTTAGAGAGCCCTGACTAATACAGTACCTTATCATAAATGGTCAAACTTGAAGCAATCCAATCAGACCCTGTCAAGCCAAGATTCCTAAATCATTTCCCATTCCCTCTGATCCCTTAAAACTTGCCCCAGAACCCACATCGCAGAGACAGAGTGGAGCCAATCTGGCTGATTTTGCACTAAAGCCTTTCTTTTCTCAAAAGCTGGTGCCATAGTTGTTGACTTCTGTGAACATTGGACAGTGAGCCTGTTTTCTCGGTAACTTCTCCCCACAGTTTATGAAAATTAGATCATCCCCCCCCACCCCCCCACCCCCCATCTGTGATT